TTAATATATCCCAAATTTATTTTCCCTTGTTTTCTTCACTTACTCAGGTTTGGCCTAGGCCTACTAATTTGATCATTTAAATTTTTCACACTGAAATTACTTACTCATGTTTTGACTTAGGCTACTGCTTTTAACTTTGTTTAGCCTTAGCATAGGGTTTTGACTTAGGCTTACCCTTTTAACAAAGTTTGGCCTTAGCATAGGGTTTGGACTTAGGTTACTAGTTTTAACTTTGTTTGGCCATAGTATAGGGTTTGGACTTACGCTACTACTTTTTACAAAGTTTAAACTTAGCATAGGTTGGACTTATGCTACTACTTTTAACAAAGTTTGGCCTTAGCATTGGCCAACTTTACAATTATCATCCTTATTCTTATTAATATAATTTTTGATGTCACAAGATAAGGGTCACTGGGTAGGTTTTCATGGATAGAATTTAAAATTTTCAGTTTAGTTACTTTGATAATATTGCTATCTTTTAAATCTAGTTTAAGAGAAGTTGTTGTCTTCACCTTTTTATATGTAGCTGCTCTTAATTATCACCCTAAATAAGAGCGGACACATATGAAGTGGTGAAGATGACAACTTCCCTTTTATTAGTTTAAAATATTAATATCACCCTAAAATATTAATTTTTTTAATTAATGAGGGCTTTAATTTTTACACTTGGATCTTTGGTACCTGGACCCATATATGAAGAGTCGATTTTCAAAATGCTGTATCTCCATTTTTGGCGTTTTGAGATAATCGACTTTTTCTGCTACACAATGATGGCTCAAATTTTAGGAAAAGTAAATGTTAATTTAGGCATCTATTCAAAATATAAGTTAGATAATGATTAAAATTGAAATGGAGGTTAATTAAAATGTATTTATTTACTTGGTTGAATTTCTTATTTCGTTTCAAAATGCTGTGTATCCAGCTGTAACTTAGCGACAAAATGCTGTATATCCATTTTGACAGCATAACATTATTCCCAGTAGCAAATAATTCAAGTTGTTTATAGATTAAAAACCACTTACATAACAAAATAAAATTAAATTGTATCATATACATTAATAATTGTGTATGATTAATGTTTTTTATTGATATATTTTAACAGAACAGTATTATAAATGCTGGGAAGTCGCTTGTAATAGTGTAATGTTTAGAGTGCTATAAGTTTGCATGATTTGTTTTTATAAATCTGAATTCTAAACAAAAGTAAACAAGATAATTTTCAATTCAAAAATCATTTTATTTGAATTTAGAACAACATTGCAATAGAAAATAATGAAGTGTCTGATTCAGAGTGTGCATCATCTTCAATAGCAGTTTGGTTTTGTTCCAGGAAAAGTTGATGCTTCTTATTTACATTCCAATTAGAGGGCAAATATTTCAGTCCTTGAGCACCCTTTCTTCTGTAATGGCTGGATCTGCATGTAAAAGATTGAATGTGTAATAAATAAAACAGCTAACTCTGTAAAGCAACTTTTTATTTTCATTTCCTTAACACTTCTGATGTGTAGTAACGGTAACAATAATAATAATAATTTAAAATGAAATTTAGTATTTAAAAAAAAAATTTTTTCTGGTAACTGACCTTGCAGAATCATTTATAGTGATTACACATAGCTGAGGGGATCTTTCCTCCGCTTGAATGAAGAAACGGTTTTTCTTTTTCTCTTGTTGAGCTCTTTTTCTTTCATCCAGGCCGTCGTTATGCACCATGTTTGTTGTTGTTTCGCGTCATGATGTTTAGTGCGCATGTGCAGCGCAGAATGCCGCAAAATAGCTTGCCAATCACACGGATTGGTCCAAAAATATATACAGCATTTTGATAATTAAAAAAAAATTCACACCACGTTTTGAAAATAAATCATTTTTAGATATAGAATAATATAGGATTAAAATGTGTTATGTAAATAAACTTTAACATGTCCTAAAGAAGGGTGGTTTGCTCTACGTGTCCTAAAGAAGGGTGGTTTGCTCTACGTGTCCTAAAGAAGGGTGGTTTGCTCTACGTGTCCTAAAGAAGGGTGGTTTGCTCTACATGTCCTAAAGAAGGGTGGTTTGCTCTATGTGTCCTAAAGAAGGGTGGTTTGCTCTACGTGTCCTAAAGAAGGGTGGTTTGCTCTACATGTCCTAAAGAAGGGTGGTTTGCTCTACAAGAATATACAGTTATCTCATTTTTTTCAAAAATGGTGGATACCGCATTTTGAAAATCAACTCTTCATATCTTGATGCGATTTTTTTGTACCTTATGGCTGATAAAATGACCCAACATGTTCTGGGAGGAATAACACTGTTAATGTTTTAGTGCTTACAGATTACTGTACTTGCATGTTTTGCTGAAATCAGATTTGTTTGTTTTTTATTATCCTTAACAGAAGGACAAAGACACAGTTTTAGATTTCACCAGTTTTTATTCCAATTTTCTTGATATTGATTTTGAGCACCTCACTGAAGGGTAATTTTATTTTTTTGTTGCTGTTGTATTGTGTAGTGCAAACTGCACAAGTAGCTTAGATGTAATATGTAAGATGTTATTTACAAAAATAAAAATAAAGCAAGTTACTTAATTTACCTTAAATGCGCTGCCATTTGATGCCAGGAACACCTTTTCACTCATGACAAACTGTTGTGAACAAAATTGTTCACAGCCTCTGCAATCAAAGTCCACTTTTAACTGAACACCCAGAGTCCATGCTACAACACCTGGCCAGGTTGCTAAAAAATGTAGTGAGGACATCATCAAAGATTTAAATTTGTAAAGCCTAGACTTGATGGCAGCAATCTTGAAGTGCCTTGTCATTATATGCAGGTAGTTTATAACTTTCCATCTGTGGGGGATAAAAACTCATTTAATTTTGTTTGGTTTCATTTTCAAGACATAGTGTTGGAATATTGGAGACCCCATGTCAAGTTGACCACCGATTGGCCTCTTTGGTGGTTAAAGCTTTTAGCTCTAGAGTTTTCCTCCTCCCCAAGAATATCTAAGTCCATTTCCCTCGGTTATTTGCCCACTGGCAACTCTTTACCTAGGCTATACAAACAAATATAACATATTTTTTAATAATGTTTTCAGAAATTATGATAATGTGTTGTTGGTAGCATCCTGTGATTTTGTCAAACAAGCCATAACCATTGCTCAGTCTGTGCTTTCCAAAGTAAGTTACTTCTTGTTTTGGTTTTCTTTTTTAATAATGTTTTCAGAAATTATGATAATGTGTTGTTGGTAGCATCCTGTGATTTTGTCAAACAAGCCATAACCATTGCTCAGTCTGTGCTTTCCAAAGTAAGTTACTTCTTGTTTTGGTTTTCAATTTCTTTTTCTCACAGCTAACTTCAAACTGCATTACTTTTTTAATCCGGTGGTTTTGCAATATATAATTATGTTCCAAGGGGTGCAGCATGCGTTGCGAGAACGACCCACATGCAGGGCAGGAATTATATTCCTAAAGTTTGACATTACTGAGGTCACAGAAACCCTCATTCCATTCATTTTCTCTCCTGTAGCAGTTTTTAAAAAAAGTTCTCATTGGATACAAAAAAAATAAATTTACTGATCCCAACCTACATTATTGGCTGTCGCTGTTGTGGATAAAAAAAAATTGTTAAAGTCATTTTACAATAACAGATTATTACTGTCTTGGAACAAATCCAAATAAAATGTATATAATTTGTGTGTGTGTGTTTAAATTGACCGTCTTCAATTATACTGTGTACAAAATATTTGTCCATTCGTTAAGGTTCTCTAAATTTCAGCTGTGCAACCAGACATACTGAAACATATTATATTTAGTTTCCTATAAAAATAATAAAATTAAAATTAATCCCACTTTTATTTAAAAATATGAACTTGTTTTTCATATCTAATTTTTTGTTTGTTGCCCTGATGGGTAGTTTAAAAAATATTCAAAATAATAATGAAACAAACCATCATCAAGAGGTTTTACCTTTTTTTCCCCCAGATGGCTAGTTGATGTGGAACAGTTTTCAAAGCCAGCTTTAGTGCATAATGAAGTCATTCCATTTTTCCATGGTAGGTTCACAGAGTGGCCATTTCAATTTTCCTTTTTCTAGCAGTTTATTTGTTAATAATTACCGCTTTCAAATTATTTTAACATGTATTTTAAGCAGATTATTTAACTTTTCATTATAAGGGAGGGGGTTGGTGTGGTGTTGATATTTCCCTCTTGACCCAAAATTCTGAATAACAGACCTGTTTACCCTCAAACTCTTTAAAACGTACAATATCACAAAATCATTCAATACCGTAGATGTATAGTAAAAAATAAACATACAGTATATATATTGTATACACCTCAAAATCATACATTGTACGCCAAAATCGTACGAGTAAACAGGTCTGGAATAAGTTTGAAATAATTTGCTAACATGCAAGTCTGAATGTATGAGGATGAAAAAAAAAAGTCAAAATAATTTTTTGTACTGCTGTCTATTTTTCAGAATGTTTTCAAAAACCTTGTCTTTCACATGAATTACAGCTCAGACTTCTGCATATGTTTGGTGCAGTGATGTCTGGTTCTCAGGTACTGTAGTGTCTTTAAAAGAAGCCTCTTCATGTTTATTTAAAAAAAATGAATGTTATATAAGGTGCAAAACAAGGGCTTATACTTAGATTTAAACGTATATATATAATAATAAATGAAAATGTCATTTCATTAAAAGTCTTGAGATTTTGAGTTCATTTAAATATGATAAGTAACTTTGATTTTGACTTTGATCATAAAAAATATTTTCAGCTGTTGCATAAAATAATGTTTCACTTGAACAGTTAAAAAAAAATATTTTTTTTAATTAATATTTTTTCAAGTTGATAAAGAAAAAAAAACGAGTAAAATTTCAAATATTTTATTTTGCAATACCGGTAATCTATATTTTTAAAAAAAATTCAGACCAATGCAACACTTACGGTGACCCCAGCGACCCTTGATGTTCTGCTGTCATTGTTATCAGGGAGAGCTGCTTGTTGTGCCAGAATCAGCGACCAGGACAGGGTAGAAATTCAACGCATCGTCCTACACTGTTTTGTTATCATGATTCACAAAATTCACAGCTGCAGCCCTGATGAGGTCAGTGCGTGGCAAAAGATGCCATTGACTGTTTTATGCAAAAGTAATCAGGGTGTTTCAAGATTGCGCAATGAGGAATTGTTATTTAAAAAAATGTTATTCAAAAGGGTTTAGGTTTCTGCGTCAGCTGTTTTGAAAATGAAGTGAATATAAATAAGCAACACAGAACTGGAGAGCATTTGGAAAAGTCACAACAGAAGGTTCACTCAATGGGTCTCATACAACTTGATTGCAGTCGGCACCATGTTATTCATTTAAAATGAAGTAACATAGTTTAATGCAGCTAATGTGCATCTCTTTTTATTTATTTAACAAAAAATAGCATCTCACATAGTTCATCTCTTGTTTTACAACAATTTGTTCTCATTTTTATTGCTGCTTTAAAACTGAAGTTAGAATTTATATTAAAATTTTCTTTAACTGAAAATCTCAGAAACGTTCACAATTTTATCCAAACATAGAAAATATTGATATATATGTAACATAAGATCATTTTATGTAAACCTACAAAGAGTAATTTAAATTATAATTTTTCATATGCACACACACACAGCTTGGATGTAATGTAAAAAAATGTTTGAACTTTGTTCTTTACTTATACCTGTCATCCCCTCAGAAATTTGTCTTGAATAATTTTTGATTTTAGTCACAAATTGAACCTCGTTACTTGAAAAAGGGACAAAAACTCAAATAATGGTTTCCTGTTTTTACAATCTCAGCGCCAGGTTGAGGTTCCTGATGTGTTTTCCAGCTACATGCAAGTCATGCTGGGGATCAGCTCAAAAGTCCAGGAGCCGGAAAAACTTATCTTAGTCGTTGGTAGGTTCCTGCGTCTGAAGGATTCCCTGCTTTATATTTAATTATGATTAAATAGTTTTTAGTTTGAAGTGACTTTGACTTGTAGTTAAATTATGTACCTATTAATGGAAAGAGAGTCGGTGGAGCTCAGAATGTTAAAGTCCAGAAATCTATGTTATAGATAAATGCAGATTTATCAAGACACGAGAGACTTGACAACATACTTGGGCTGAAGATTTCTTGATGACCATGCAGAATATGACAAACATTTAAAAATGTGTTATAAGATATGTGCATACACTTTTTATGTCGATCACAAATTTTGATGTAATCAGATTACAAATTTTAAAAAATAGGGCAGGTGTCAGATATGTTAACTATAGTTATCTTGAAACTGCTTGCCAATGAAGGGTTGATTTTCTGGGAAGGCAATCTGCCAACTAACATTGGCGCATCGGTGAAATGGAGACTTAAACTGCCGCTGAATTAACATGAACAGATGGTTACATACCAGATCAAAAGACTAGGTCAATACCAAATGAAGGATGTTGTTTGTCCTTTGCACTCGAAGATGACCAAGGACTTGAGCAGTAGCCTTGACTTGAGCTGTTTGAAGTGAGGGAGAGTTGCTCAATTTGTCAGCCTCACTGTCTCTTCCTTGCCTATTTGATCCAATGCAAGACTTGTTCAAGGCCATCAGGATGCAGTAGATGAACAGCATGTGTGTGTTTGTGTGTTTCACTGTGCTCTTATACGTTGTTTCGTCGCATGAGTTGTCAGAATTGTCAATGTCATAACGCCTACAGGACTCCATCTCTGAGTTTGACTTCAGAGTTTGCCTTCTCTACGGGACTCCAACTCTGGGTTTGACTTCAGAGTTTGCCTTCTCTACATGACTTCATTTCTGAGTTTGCCTTCTCTTAGATGAGTTGCCATCCAAGGTTAACGAGTCCCATTCACCCGGGCTGCTTGTGATGTTTTTGTTTGTCTAGGCATTTTCTAGGGATTGAACTCCAATCCCCTAGCTTGGGACTGGCTCAGTTTAGACCACTCGGCCACCATAGGAATGATAAATGAAACACATAGGGTAAAGCCTCATTGCAAAACCAACCATCTGTTATGGCTCATTACCTGATGAGTGTAACTCTGATTTTCTTGTTGTTATTCCTCTGACCAGATGCAATACGGGACATGGTGAATAGTCCTGACAAACTGGCACTTCAAATGCTGCTGTTGAGAGATGATTTGTTTGAAGCCCTGGCCCTCTTGATAAAAAAACTCACAAGTAAGTAGCAGTATTTATATCTAAATTAAGTAATAGTGTGATTATACTAGGAAATGACAGCATTTGTTACTCAAGTAAGTAGTAAGCTACAGCGTTTACATTTTCTTTTAGTGGTAAGAACTCATGGGGCATCTTGATTTTTAACTCGACCTTGAATGAAACAATATCCTGATTTCTTTTTAAAATTCTGGTTTTTTTTATGACTGTATGTGAAAATTTAGTTTAGCTAGCTAAGGCAGATTCTGTAAAATAAGAGAAAATAATAAGAAGAAAATTCACTCTCAATATGTATAACTAACCCCCCAGAATATGAATGAAATAGTCTGATAACTAGCCTTGACCTGAGATGTAAATCTTAAAACCCCCCCCCCCACCCCCCCACCCCCACCCAAGTTATCCATAATAAAATCTTTTAAGACATCTAATTATATTTTTGGTGATTGATTTTTTGAAAACATCCGGTCGTTTAATGTGAGCACCAGGGAGAAGAAAATATATTTTCAAAAGGAGAAGGTAATTAATAACTCGTGACAATTTGAATAACACAGTACGGAGGGGGATCTCCTCCTTTAGTGCTTCAGTGAGATTTTTATTCTTTATGGACAGCACGACGATTGAATAGTTTTTCAATTATTATTTTTTTTATAATAATTTTTTTTCATAAATAAGGGGATTTGAAGTATTAGAATTTATATTTTGCATTTATGATTAATAATTTATATTTTGAGGGACTTATTTTCAATGTGGTTTAAAAATTATGTTCGTAGAAGAATTTTCAATATGACTCATATTTTATGTTTTGTTCCAATGGTTTTGTCATTAAATCTTGTTGGCGAAAGTGGTGTTGCAAGTGTTAGTGCTGACCGGGAAGTGCCATGTTTTGAATCCCATTTTCCACACACAAAAAAACAAACAATTCTGAAGTTGCCGAAAATCCCGACCCTCTAAATAAAGAAAAAGATCCCCCGCCCCCCCCTTGACCTTTCCTATCTGCACCCATTCCTATGCAACTTGACCAGTGATGATGCGAAATCTACCGTAACTGCAGCATGATATTTTTTTTATAAAGTCATCAGATTTATTTGTTTTTCTGTACATCAACAGCTTAAAAAAAAAAAACTCTATTTTCTAGAGCTAATAGTAAAATCCTTATCTGATACTCGCTGGGAATCAAGAATTGACAGCTTTGTACCTAATCGTTACCAGCTTGGCGAGATTTATAATGCAATTTTTGCCATTCCATAAACATCAAATGATCCTTTAGTGTGACATGAAGCCTTACCACTCTTAAAATCATTGAAGGATTTTGCATTCATGATGCTAAAGGATTACAAACATTACCTCCCCATGAACTTAATGACTTACAAAAATTATCTGACAAATTTGAACATCTCAGAAACTGATGAATTTAAATTATATACTCCTACCGATACACATGCTGCTATGCAAGAAATCACCACTGAATGTTCTAAAAGGTTTGCAGTCTAGTCAGTGCTTGGCCGTCAGAGTGGTCACGTGGGTCCTGCATATTGGCCGTATATATTTAAGGGGCCCAGAGTTGTGATGTGTTGTGATGTGGAAAAAAAATAAACTACAATTTTTAATGCAGGGGGATCAAAATGAAAAGTGGTAAGGGGCCTTTCAAAGACTCAAAATGGCACTGCTGGATGTTTGTCCATCTATAGTAATTTCTTTTAGAATTTTGCTGAAAATTTGATTCAGCGCTGCAACTAGAGAAATAATTTTTTTCTAGGGAGAAGTTTATTTAAACTTAAGAGCTTATTTGACTCGGCAAAGGCTCAAATCTCTGGAGATGATATCTACTGAAAATGATTATGGAGATGACATCAACGGTGATTTTTCCCCTGCAACAGTCAGAAATGTTTGTTGTAGAATAGCATACTAGTTATTGTTCCAGTTTATTTATTTTAAAAATTTTTTAAACTGTGTAGTTATTGCATGCCGAAGGTCGGAATTTTATCTGGTTGGAGCTGCTCCTTTTCAAAAAAATCTGTTTTAGTTTAGAACAAGTTAGTTTTTAATTTTGCTACCTAAAATCTAAATAACAATTATGTTTTATTGTTTGTATGTGATTGCCTGGAAAAGACCGCTATGAATATAGGTCTCTATTCTTCAGTCTTCTCCAGCAGCACACTTTTAAAATTATTAACTGTTAACATCAACCTGAAAATTACCTGGGGGAAGGGGTTGCCAAAAATTTTGACCTGCCTCGTGCGCCAAAGTTGCCAAGGCTGGCCGGCCCTTTATGGAATAAGCATTTATTGTCAAAACTTTTAGAAGTTGCTTAAACTTAACTGTGATCCTAACTTAAAGTTTCAGGGTGAAGACATTCAAAGACTTGCTTGTTCTGTGATCAACACCTTGGCAGCGCTGCTGAGCGGCTCAGCAAAGGCAAAGGTGAGGCTAATGGTATTCTTCCATTAGGAGAAGGAAATCTGATTTTATTCCTTGTGAAAATAAAAAAAGTTTGAAAACACAGCACTGTGGAAGATTCATTTAATTACTTTAACTTGCTAAGTCCTTTATAGTTCATGTCAGGAATAATTAGTGAAAGTCCATTGGTCCATGAATGATAAATCTTGGTACCTAAAAAGCTATGTCCTTCAAAGCTGTGTTGCAGTCTAATCATAGTACCTACCAAGCTATGTTGCAGTCAAATCATGATGCCTACTAAGCTATGTCATTGTCAAATCATGGTGCCTACCGAGCTATGTCGCAGTCAGATCATGGTGCCACTAAGCTATGTCACAGTCAAATCATGGTGCCTACCAAGCTATGTCGCGGTCAGATCATGGTGCCACTAAGCTATGTCACAGTCAAATCATGGTGCCACTAAGCTATGTCACAGTCAAATCATGGTGCCACTAAGCTATGTCACAGTCAGATCATGGTACCCACCAAGCTATGTCATTGTCGAATCATGGTACCCACCAAGCTATGTCATTGTCGAATCATGGTACCCACCAAGCTATGTCATTGTCGAATCATGGTGCCTACAAAGCTAAGTCATTGTCAAATTATGGTACCTTCTCAGCTATGTCATTGTCGAACAATGGTACCTTCTTAGCTGTGTCATTGTCAAGTCATGGTACCTTCTAAGCTATGTCATTGTTGAATCAGGGTGCCCACTAAGCTATGTCATAGTCCAAACTTAAACCTTTCTAATTCTACTGTCCATTTTTGTTTATTCTGTTTTATTTTTGTTTTATGCTTCTCTGACAGATCATGTTTGAGAAGTGTGTGGGCCACAATGAATTTTTAGAAATTTTACATGGTTGTGGGCAACCCTCAAAGGAACTTTTACAGTCTGTTAAATTTGGTGAGTTCACTTGGAACTCAGCTAGACCTATTAAAAGTGGATGTTTTCAAATATCTTCAGTGGGTACAATTCAAAACCAACATAATTTTTTTTTATTAACTTCAATATATGAAGGTTGCAAGTATTGTAACTGTGTTTGTAAAACACTCCTGATATATTGTAACTGTGTTTGTAAAACACTCCTGATATATTGTAACTGTGTTTGTAAAACACTCCTGATATATTGTAAATGTGTTTGTAAAACACTCCTGATATATTGTAAATGTGTTTGTCAAACACTCCTGATATATTGTAAATGTGTTTGTCAAACACTCCTGATATATTGTAAATGTGTTTGTAAAACACTCCTGATATATTGTAAATGTGTTTGTCAAACACTCCTGATATATTGTAAAACCATTGTGTTATTTGTTAATTAAAAAAACAAAACACAACCAAATAATAAAGTTTTAGCTTTTAGTGAAATTTGACCTCATTGTTGACCTCATTGTTGACCTCATTGTTGACCTCGTTGTTGACCTCATTGTTGACCTCATTGTTGACCTCCTCATTGCCAGGTCGTTGAAACGCCCTACGAGACCATGAAAACCACGGCTATAAGAAACACACAAGCCACCGTGCTGCTGATGAAGTGGCTGGTCAAGATTGAGTCACATGACCTCCAGGTACTTGGTATCTCATTTTCCTCCATGCAACCATTGATTTAATATGTGCTCATCTTGACTGATCATTTTAGGGAGGTGGAGGCACTGGGTAAAAATTTAAACCGGGCACAAGTGTATTTGTGTCGAAGTCAGAAGTACTGGGTCCCATCTACAAGTGGATTTGTCCAAGTCAGAAGTACTGGGTCCCATCTACAAGTGTATTTGTCCAAGTCAGAAGTACTGGGTCCCATCGACCAAAAATACTTTTCTACAAAACAATTTTTAAAATTCTGAAGTCATAACCTGTCAAGTTACAGCTGCCAGAATAAATTCAGAACAATATTTAAAAATTCAACCATTACAGAATGAAACGAAAGTAGCCCAATGACGGTGTACGGTATGTGCTCAATAACATAAACATTATGTGCTTCCATTATTAAAATTTTGATGTTGTACAGTTAAGGGCAGGGTTATCCACGTTTGTTTCTGTCAGATATGGCTGAGCAAAGAGCTGACCAAAAACTCTGCACATCTAGTTATGGTAACAAGATGGCGTGTTGTAAGGGAAAGATGGTTGGTGGGATCATCTCCTTGCTGGTACAGCACTCACAGCTGCAGCTGCAGACAGTTGATAAGCATGTGACTGTGCACATATAGCTATTGTAACATAACTACAGCCAGTTGATAAGAATATTACTGTGTACACTTATTCATGTAACATAGCTACAGCCAGTTGATAAGAATATTACTGTGTACACCTATTCATGTAACATAGCTACAGACAGTTGATAAGACTTTTTTTTTTAATTGTACATCTAGTTTTGATAGCACACCTTCCTCCTATCTCTAGTGGTGCTTTTAACATTGACTTAACATTGTGTTTACCCATCTCCCAATGATGCTATGAAATGCTATGACTTAACATTGTGTTGACCCATCTCCCAATGATGCTATGAAATGCTATGAATT